GGGGGGCACCTTCTTCGACGGCGGAATCCCCGCCCCCCCCCGCCGCGGACGCCGCTGCTGGCGCTGGTGGAGGGGATCACGATCTTCAGCCGCGGCTCGGGGTTTCTCTCGCAGCTCGCGGAGTGCGGGGTGATGGGGGCCCTTGTGGATTGCCTGAAGCGCGCCCGAGGGGGCGAGACTTTCACGGGCGCCAAGGCGGGGGACGATTCGTCGGGGGGACCCCCATGCGCCTTCGTCCCGATCCGAGTGAGGGAACGCAAGGCGATTGTTTTGCTGCTGCTTTACATTGCCAACGCCGGGCGTGTTTATCGGGAGCTGATTTGCGATGAAGAAGGGGTCTCCGACCTCCTCGTGGCGCTCCAACGTGAGGAGGATGCCGAGGTGGCGGCGCTTTTGACGGAGCTCTTCATTACCTTAGGCAATGGGGTCCCTCGCCTAGGGCTTCACGTGCAGTGCGGGCTGCTGAGGCTCATCCTCGCCGAACGAGACGCTGAGGAGCGTCTCGCAGCCGCCCAAGAGCTCGGGAAAGACGCAATATCCCCCCTTAACCATTCCGAATCTTCTGACCATACCCACGGCGGCGGATGGAATCCGGCGGACGTCCGCCAAGCCTTGGCCTTGGCCTCGGAGTCTTTTCGCGAGTCCGTTCTTCAGGCCGTGCGCGCCTTGCGGGGGCTTCAGTTGAGCTACGAAACGCGGTATTTCAGTGGCTTTGAGGCGAAATGTCGGATTTTAGCGGAGATCGACGACCACGGGCAGACGGAGGGCGGGGAGTGGAATTATGTGCCTGTAATTTGTTTAGGCGGCAATTCCACATCCTATCCGGGGTGTCCTTCGTCTTTTCTACCACCTCCTCAACAGCAACCCAAACCACAACCAGTTGGTGATGCTGCTTCCTTGGCGGTTAGTTCTTCTCCGCGGAATCGGCAAAACGCCGGCGAGGATGCCATTCAAATTTCCGATGGGGACGAGAACAGCCTGCTCCGGGCGATAAGCCTGACCGAGCTCCTGAATGGGCTTTTCTTTCTTGCCAATCACGAGTGCAGTAGCCGATACCGCGTGGAGGGAAGCGAGCTCTTGACCTTGGTGGCAAAGAATATTAACCTTACGGAGCCGATTCTGAACTACTGCTTCGACGTCCTCAATGATTGCTACCTGTCCATCACCGACGACGAGGCCGACTTTTCGCTCATTCGGCAGCAGCGCCGGCAGCTCTGCAGTGGGCGAACCGCCGTCCAGGTCATTCTATCGAAGCCGATGACGTCCCGACGGCATGCGTTGATTATGAGGCTCATCGCCATCCGCAGTGCGCATTTATCCTTGTTAAGATACCTCCGCATGACGGATCAGAGTGATACCGCGGCCGTGTTGGATTGCTGTATGGCCTTACAGATCGTCGCGCGGGCGTCGAATGCGGCCCAACACGCCCGCATGTTGACCCCTTCCTGGCTTTCCGACCCCCGCGAGGACGCCAACAACCAGGACCACCTCCACGGCGACTTCACCAACCCGAGGAGCCCGGACGCCGAGGCCGCGGACGCGTCTGTTGGCTCGCCCTTCCCCAGGAAAAAGGGGATGGGTGTTCACGGGAATGCGCTTCTGCAGGTTGGGCATGCCATCCGTGAAGCGCTCGGCGATTCTTTATATCAGGCCGTGCTTTATCAGAAGCTTAGCGATGAGGAGTGCTTTGCGATGCAGCGCGCCTGTAGGGATGCGGCACTTGTTATAAAATAGATGTTCCCTTCCTCCCTTTCCCGTCTATTTTATCTTCTTTCCTCCACCGATGTATCCTTATCGTTTCCCCCATGATAAAAGGCGGTGTGTAGTGTGCGCGGAGCTTTCTTTCCCATCCCTTCTATCACTAGCATTCGAAAATATGAGAAAGAAGTCTTAGCTCCATACCCAATATTCGATTGCGCAACTGTATTGGCGAATGGTTTCAACGTCTTCTCAGACTTATGTTTTTATCCTTTTTTCAATGTTTACAAGATATTTTATTCACTGTTCCTTTATATTTTTCTTCCAAATTTTTCCTTTTTTTTTGTTTTTGTTTTCGATCATTTCCTCTTTCCTACCTGTATACACTCACATTACCTATTCGAGCATTCTAGAGGGAGTTCTTAAAAAAAAACATCACAAAAAAAAAGTCTAACTGGTGCCACTATTTATTCTTTGTTCCCAACCTTTTTACCGTCTGTGAGGGTATTCCCACACCCATCTCCTGGAACGTCAGGGGTAATCCCCATCTCTCGGACTGTCATTCTATTCTTACCCCCTTTTCCTCTCTTCCCGAAAGAAGAACGCGATCAACCACAATAGAAAATAATAAAAAAAAGTCTTAAGCACCTAAGCGCTAGCTATATAACTTTTCCTCTCCACCCCAAACGAAGGCATCCCACCGGTGAGAGGGTACCACGTTTGACCTAGGCCATTTCTTGAACCGACGCATCGACCCCGCGCCCTCTCTTTTCGCGATGTCCCAGACGACGAACGCCGCGATGGGCACGCGGATTCGCCTCATCAGCAATAGCGATATTCGCTACGAGGGCTACCTCTTCGGCATCGACTCCGAGGACAACACCGTGAGCCTGAAGAACGTCCGCATCTTCGGCACGGAGGGGCGGAAGTACGGGGTCAACGAGGTCCCCCCGTCCGACCAGCTCTTCGAGGCCATCGTCTTTCGCGGCGACGACATCAAGGACCTGACGTTGTACGAGCACGGCGCCGGCCCCGGCGGGGCGGTGGACCCCGCCATCCTCAGCGCCACCCCCGCCCG